GTGTAATTGTATTTTTTAAAAAAGAACTCTACGATGTTTGTTTTGCTTCCATCCAGATTCAGAACTTGATATTTTCTCGTTTTGATCTAATGGTTTACCTAAAAAAAATCATTTTCCCACATTATGCTTTTAGCTTGAATTATACTTATGCTGAAGTTAAAAATGGAACCGAGTTTTTTTAATTTTGCAGAGTATTTATTATTGAAAAAATGTCTCATCGCAAGTTTGAGCATCCAAGGCATGGCTCTTTGGGATTTCTTCCAAGGAAAAGAGCCTCACGCCACAGAGGAAAAGGTGTTTTTCTGTATTCCCATTTACTTGTTTTATTGTTAGGAACAGTTGATATTTACTTGGTGATATTGTTGAATTTCCCTGTTATTCAATTGTCTCATTGCACTAGATGTTGCTGAGCAGAACCCCATTTGTTTTATTTATTTGTCTTTTAATCCCTCATAATCCCTGAAGTTGTAATTGCTAACACTAACCCTTATCATGTTTAGCTTGTCAATTTATTTAGTGAACATTTTAGGTTCCAGCTATCATAACTTCCTCTATGATTGTTTTAATTAAAATCTTCTGATTTCTCTTTCTCCTTTTGTGGTTGTTTAGTTAAGGCATTCCCGAAGGATGATCCTACTAAGCCATGCAGATTAACTGCATTCTTTGGATATAAAGCTGGGATGACCCATATAGTGAGGGAAGTTGAAAAGCCTGGATCGAGTAATTCTGCTTTCTATTGCTCATGATTATTAAATTGTGGGATTCAAGATTGTCTTTTCAAGATTTACCGCTTTAAGAAATATTAGTGTTCTATTTATGTTCTCTCTTGCATGGTTCATTCTCCTCCATGTTTAGCTGGTTAGTTTAATGTATTTATGTTCTTTTTTCCAGAACTTCACAAGAAGGAGACTTGTGAAGCTGTTACTATCATTGAGACGCCACCTATGGTTGTTGTTGGAGTTATTGGGTATGTCAAAACTCCTCGAGGTCTCCGTACTCTTGGCACTGTGTGGGCTCAGCATCTGAGTGAAGAGGTGAAACGAAGGTTTTACAAGCACTGGTGCAGGTCTAAGAAGAAAGCTTTCACCAAGTACTCAAAGAAGTTTGAAACTGAGGATGGTAAAAAAGACATTCAATTGCAGCTGGAAAAATTGAAAAAATATTGCACTGCAATTCGTGTTTTGGCCCACACTCAGGTATATTCCTCTCAAGCAGTTCTAGAATGTGTAATTATGTTTTAGTCCTTCCAATTATTGATGATTGTTTTCTGATTTCTTTGATGTCATCCATTTCATGTCTATAGATTAGAAAAATGAAGGGGTTGAAGCAGAAGGCCCATTTAATGGAAATTCAAGTCAATGGTGGAACTGTTGCCCAGAAAGTTGACTTTGCTTACAGTTTCTTAGAGAAACCTATTCCAGTTGATGCTTCAGAAAGATGAGATGATAGATATCATTGGGGTGACCAAGGGTAAAGGCTATGAGGGTGTGGTGACCAGATGGGGTGTCACCCGTCTCCCACGTAAGACCCATCGTGGTCTTCGCAAGGTTGCTTGTATTGGTGCATGGCATCCGGCTAGGGTTTCTTTTACTGTTGCTAGGGCTGGGCAAAATGGCTACCATCACCGCACTGAGATGAATAAGAAAGTGTATAAGCTTGGAAAGGCTGGACACGAGTCACATGCTGCCATGACAGAATATGATGGGTTAGCCAAGCACCTATTTTCCAGCATGCCATATATATCCTAACCGAGTCATTTTTTAATTCTCTTCATTTTCTCCAAATTTCAGGACTGAAAAGGATATTACCCCAATGGGTGGATTCCCCCATTATGGTGTGGTGAAAGAGGATTATTTGATGATCAAAGGCGGCTGTGTAGGGCCAAAGAAACGTGTCGTGACTCTGAGGCAATCCCTCTTGCATCAAACTTCTAGGGTTGCTCTGGAGGAGATCAAGCTCAAGTTCATTGACACATCATCGAAATTTGGTCATGGTCGCTTCCAGACAACACAGGAGAAGGCCAAGTTCTATGGGAAGCTCAAGGCTTGACTGGCATATTATTAGTTAATCTACAAGTTCATTTACTATCAGTTCTTTGTTTCTCTGTTTTGTACGATATTGTATTTATATTATGGTTGCCAGCAACTTTAAATTTTGCTTATGATGGATTCGTTTAGTAACTTAACATTCTAGTTTCGTACCATGCCATGGGTTACCATTGTTTTGCTAATATCCTTACAGATTTCTTCTCATGACTAATTGAAACTTCCTATTCATTGTTTGTTGGAAACTTGAAAATCACGACTCAAAACTCTTGGAAAAAGGTTTATGAGATTGCGACTCGATTTCATTCTTTAAAAACAATTTGGGTTTAGACCTGGTTGAGTTTTTAGAAGATATAATGGATCCCACTCAACTCGATCTATGTTCATTCCTTTATGTGCCTCGCCAGTCGCCTTTGGTTTGTTTTCGAAGTCCTGCTTTAGTGTGCTTTCCTTATTAAAGGTGACCCCTCCTCTTTTAGAAATATGTCTTATATGGGAATGGGAGACAACATCTTTCAGAAATTTGTCTATGGGTTGTTATGAGTTGAATATTTATATATTTAATACGAGTATATTTTATAATTTATATATTTTTTTGAGTAAACTGAACCAAACATTTGAGTTGGTCTTCAAACTTGTAAACTTTCCAATAATCTCTCTTAAAGTTTGAGGATGAAATTGAAACATTCAAGAGTTTGGGGACTAATATTAAATGAGGATCATAAATTGGAAATGCATTTGTCATGTTAAAAAATTCAAGGACTAATTCATAACGAAGTTAAAAATTTAAAAGACAATTTAAGATAGTCATAATTTGGGAATGTATAGTGCAACTATCTATTTTTTGTGATTTTATGCTTATACACACTAATAAAGTGTTCACTACAAATTGTTGGTGCTTATTTCTAAGAAGAAAATGGGATAAAGCTCTTTTCTTTGTAGTGATTTGGAATGAATATTTGGTCCAATAGTTGAAGGATGAAAACTCTGTAAAAATAGACATTGTTTCTGTTAAGCTTTTGTTTTCGGTTGGGGATATCATTGTCTATGGAATATATTAATACTACAAGATCATAACTTGGCTTATTAAATTCAAAAACTTTATGGATTTGATAATATTATTGATTAAGGTCTTAGATAGGCTTTCACATCAGTCTCGGACATTTTGATTATCTTGTTTGACAAAGAGCTCTCACTCAATGCATCTTTTGGTAGAAGAGCCTCTTTCTTTTTCGAGGGTCCTCACCTCTCATTATTGCTTCTATATTGTTTTTTTCCCACTCTTCTTTTTCTGCAACATGGTTACATGAATTCTTGGCTTTATGGAAGATAAAGAAAGCAAGTAATCTCAGCATGTTCACCCTTAACCATGTGACAATAAATATTTATATAATTATACGATGTTTCAACTCAAAATCTCAAGAGATAATAATAAATTTCTTAATTACAGCGAGAAATATAACTATTTATAGCACTGCATAAGCACAATTATTCGATTAGAAAGATAACAAGTGATTTATTCAAAGTTATAAAATCTGACATAAAATATACGCACCCTTTTTCTCTCGAGCTCTTTGCTTTAAGCCACGGTCCATATTTTATCGTTCTTCTCTTGAATCATTACATTTATAGCACTGCATATGCATAGCTGTAAGGTTTCTTCTCTCTCTTAGTCAATCACCCCTTTTTCTTCCTAAACTTTCAAGTCAATTCTTATTCTGTTCTTTTGCATGTGCTTCCTATCCTGCTGTTGATGTTGTGTTTACTTTGAATCAAATACCCAAGTTTATATATATATATATATATATATATATATATATATATATATATATATATTATAATTGTGTATAGTTCTTTTTAATTTTCTATTTGTTTTGGTTGGAGATTATGTTAATGATACATGGAAGGTTTTGCCATAAGTAAATTTCGCTAACTTTAATGATGGTTATAATCATCTTTTTCATGTGGAAATTTTATAATCTTTGGGGTTTTACTTTAGAAAAATGCAGTTATAATCATGTTTAATTTATATAATTTTTGTTTCTGGTCTGCGGACAGCAAGGCCCATGCTTTTGATTCCTTTAGGGTTGCTTCTTGAGACAAGGGTATGGTATTAATCAAGCCATCAGCATTATGTAAACATCATTCTCATTCAACAAAATCAAAAGCAAAGTGCACACTGCTGGGAATTATCATATAACTTTGTCTCTACTTTTTTAATTTGGGGTATATAAAAGCTAGCTGCTCTCAGCCCTTAAGAAATGGTGTGTTTTTTTCAGGACGGAGTTAGAGCCATAGGATCAAAGGATTAAGTTCATTTTTTGATGTTCATAAGTCATAATTCACAGGACCACGGTCCCCCAAGGTCGAAATCTTTTGATTTTCCTCTCTTGGTAAGCACTGATCCTGGTTTATTTTCATTTGTAATGATGCCATGAAGCATTTACATTAGGTGATATGGTGCTTTGCTGCTTCGGGTCAGTGTTATTTTTTCTGTTTTTGGTCATTCATCTATGATTCAGTGATTCGGTATGCAGTACCGACCTCAACGGTACTTAGGATAGTCTGAAAGAGCCACTTTCATATCTTTTTGTTCGAACAGAATGACTGAAATCGCCCGAAAGTGATGGTGCTATCGATATTCATATTTGAAAACGTGAAGGGTCTACAATGTCTGAAAATGATTCATTGTTGAGCTGATCATGTGGTGTAGCTACTGCTGATGTTTTATATCATTAACACTGTCATTGACAACATCCTTTCTTGTTAATTTTACTTGCGAATTTCGACTTTCTCATGTAATAATCGCTATGTCGACAATTTCGAGACATGTTACCCTTGAAATGTGGATGAATGTTCATGGATTTTGATGATTACCTTTGTTGATCATTTTCAGAAAAAAAAGGCAACTCATGAATGAGGAAGTTCATGTTATTAGAGGAATAAACTGCAACTATGAATGGGTTTGGAACTGGAAGATCAATGCCATGGAACATGTACCCAAGTTCCGATCCGAGTCTGTCTCAACCTGTATTCGATAAGGAACCGCTGTTGAAAAACTTGGGGACATCTATGAATGCCATTTCTTTCGGCTTTGTTGCTACAGCCATCTTGATATCCATGTTTGCTATCATGGCCATCTTCGAACACCTTTTTCAGCCAAATCCTGCTTTTTCTTCAACCGTTCAAGACGGTGCTGTATGATCCGGAGCGGTCAAAAAACTCGGGAATCCGCAAAGAGTGAGCTTCTATCTCATCAGGATGCTGAGACAATGCACCCTGCATATTCTGCTGTTCTTTCTCTTTTGACAACATTTCTTTAAGAACAAAGAAACTTCAACCAGATGATCAATCACGAATTTCGACTCTTCAACCACTAAGCTAAAAACCCTTTGTCCCTTGGCAATGATTTACCAATTTCTCTTACTGTTCTTCAAGTAGAATTAAGTAAATTCCGATCATATATATACAAGTAAAACATGTAGTTTATTTCTGAAGTATGCTTTATTTTGATCGGATCTTGAAACTGATGCTTGATGAATCCGTCGCGATGGCAGGTATCGACACCGTATGCGACTGATTTGACGGTGGTGATGCCGGGAGAACAATATCCTACCCATATAGCTCAGCTTGCTCCTCTCCCTTGTCCAAGGGAAGGCATCTATTGGCCTCCCCATGAACATAGTTTAGTATATCCTTAAGCATGCTTCATTATCCATGATGTTTTTGAATACATTTATCTTCTTGTCTTCTAATACTATTTTCCGATGAAATATTATAATTTGACAGATTAAAAAGAAAGAAAAGAAAACCAGAAAATTGTTACTCTCTTGGGTATGTGTGATGTAAAAGGATTAAGCTTAAACTATGTATTTAATCACTTATTTATTCTCATAATTCTATTTTGATAATCATCTGTTTTTAAAATCATATCTAACTTTACCTTTTGATCACTTGTCGATAATGACACGTCATCATTAGAAGAAAAAATTTACCATTACATTAAACCAAAACGAAACGTTAGTGACGAGAATAGTTTACCTAAAGACTAAATACAACACTCACACAGAAAACAATCACTTGAGAATCAAAACCACCATTGTGCATAGAAACTTGAAGAATTTATATTAGAAACAAACAAAAAAATTTACATTACAAGATAAAATTTGCAAGCAATTGAATACCCAACACTCCTAATCATATCTCCCTCAGCTCTTTTTCCTCTCTTTCATTCACCCATCCCCATGAAGTTTATCTCTGTAAATCTGACTATTCTTGAGTTTCCATTCATCTCTGCATATTTTTGGATTCTCTGATCTTCGGTAACTTTGTCCTGTTAGTATTTAGTTCCATGGTGGATAAAGAATACACGGTGACAAGTGGAAGGGAAAATCGTCTAGTTCTCATCGATGCTATCTTCATCGGGTAATATTGCAGTCAATAAAGAATACTTTACCAGGAGAGAGATCTTTCCCTTCTTGACGACTAATCTTGCCCCCGAAACGACCCAATATCCAGGACTTTCCTGTGGCCCTCGTGTAATTTCGGTTGTATCAACGAATTTCAAAAGCTTGGGAGCTTGAACAGGCATGGGAGGGCCTCCGGGGTAAACAGCGGAGTTGATGTTCACATCAGCTGGCCTTGGAGGCGGCTTCTGAACTTGTGTGAAGTGATGACTGATTAGTGTGGATATGAGTCCAGACTTGGCGACCGACCCGGGTGATCCTTCCCATTCTGGCTGCTTAACGGAAATAGCTCCCAAAACAGTCGAGAAGCGTAGTCGTAAAAAGAGAATATTTTTAAAACCATGATTCTCAACCTGCAATTGGGCTCCAGTTACAATAGAAAGATCCTCATCGGACTCTATGGGAGCGGTGCATACATGAGAGTAGTTCTTCCAATAAACTTTCTCGTAGTAATTACGATCATGAGACTCTTGGCGGAAGTTCCCTTTTGGATCATCTACAAGCTGGAAGATTTTTGGAAGGGAAGAAAGGTGCTGCAAGTGGATGGCCAAATGGTTGCTCCTTTTACCTTCTAGATATAGTCGGAGGCCAGTCACAGGCCTCCTACCCACATCAACCTGTAACGGAATTATGTAGTGAAAAATCAGATATATTTTCTTTTGATATGAACAAAGACTTCCCAGGAAAAGCGGTAGCTCAATGACCCAAGCGCTAGTGGTCATCTATAAATCCAACACCAGCATTGAACATGGTCCAAATTTTTATCGAGCTGATGGGCTAATAAAAACTACTCAAACCCAGACATGGATGAAACCTACATGGAAACACTTAATGCACAAAGCCAGAAAGTTACAAATTTAAAATTTCATTACCGGAGTAGTGTTCACGAAAAGCTTGGGCCCCATGAAGCTGAATTGCAAAGATGAAGTGCTTTGTTGCTTTCGTCGCGGACCAAGAGGAAGTTCACTGAAAACCGGTGCCCACTGTCTTGGAAGCTGAAATTCCAAAAACTGGTGGAGCTCTTCAATTGGTGGTTTATCTGTAACAAACGTGGTCAAGGATCAACTACTATTGACGTAGTTTGGTACTTACTAACAACTTACAATCATTTAAGAAAGGTTTAACCAAAATAAGCTCATAACTCATGTTTGATTGCCTTCGAATTACATAATAATAAGACGGTTAGTGAACTTACGATATATTTACCGAATTATAAAAAGGCAAAAATGTGAGGCATACTTCTTCCAGAGAATAATAAAGGCATTCCATGTTTAGGAAGAGGAAAAAAAGAGAGAATAATTTGAAGCAGGCAGTGGAAGAAAAAATAAAAATGCATCAGGTAGACAGACAGAAACCATAGGTCTTGCTTACATCGCAAATATAAATTTATGGCATGGCTCAGAAATCCACATCCCGGAACTCCATTCAGCAGAGAAGTAATAGGAATAAAGGACATTGAGATTACGTCAGGCTTTAACTGAACCGTTTGTAGCCAGTCAATATGAGAAAGGTTTCTATTATCATCACTTCCACCTCTCCTTTTGTAAATGGTTACAATATCCTGCAATTTTTAGGTAATTATTAACATCGATATCGCGAAAGAAGCTTTAACCTTTACCAAGGAGCTTTAACTATTAAGCAAACAACCCATATGGAGGAAAACCAACCTCTTTATGTGCATACGAACTTGATGGACTGTTACTAGCAAACCTTAGCCGCTGCTCCCTGATTTCAAACTGAAACAGAGATAATTATATTAGATACCCCAGGAAAAAGGGGAAACACACATTATGCCAATGTTTCACTCGTAAGGATGATTGACAGACAAGTTAAAACAAATGAAGTTTTACCACCAAAAGTGACGGCAAATCAGATATATGTAGACAAATACCCATAATTTATTTATTCTATAGAGATTAATTAAACTAATATTGGAAGGCTAGCAGTCAAAGTAATAAGGCTAAAAACAAAACCGCCAACCAAGTTGAAAGACCTATAAAATAACAGTATCCTCATAAAACAAGCAGCACAGCAAAAACAATGACAGATCCAGATCTCAGAGTAAAAACCTAAACATTTAAAACAGTAGCAGACATGGAGTATTCTCTGGCAACTATTTAACTGGTATATCGTTAGAAATCATACAATATTTAGTGTGAAACTGGGCTGTGGTGTTACTATGTGAGAAAACTCTCAAAACAAATTTTGGCGTCAATACGCAACATCCTGCAACACTTCCACAATAACACCCTGCTTGACAGTTTAAATCAGGGATATTGTATCCCTGTTGTAAAAAATATTGAACTGGGAATATTGATTTCATTCCATCCAAACAAGAAGCATGATTTATGTATATATACAGCTATAGATTAGAAGATGTATCATCACAGTTCTATACCAAACCTTGTCACTTGGGTAGACTTGCTCAGGCACCATGCTGTATTGTTCACTGGCATCCAAAAACCTCTTATCAGCAATATCCTTCAGTCTTTTCTGAATATCAGCAGGTTGAAGAGTAGAGGAATGCTGCTGCTTTATGTAAATAACATCTTTCCCACCCATCTTCACGCCAACAATAATGTGGGTGCCATAAGTTTCAATAAATCTGAGATGTCAAAATTATATATCAACCTCAAATACTATATAGCAGAGAGTAAATAACACTAAACGAAGCAGGCAGAAGGCAGCAGAAAATTCATAGTCACCAACACAACAGCATTCTTTATATGTTCATTTAGAACATGCATGCTGAACCAGTAAAAGAGAAACAAAAAAGTTAATCATTGAATTGTTCACCACATGACAATTGAACTCAAAAAGAGAGGGAGCCAGAAACAAACATTGGCCGAAGCCCAAGTCACTGAATAAGGGAAAAAAGGCGAATACATGGCAAGGTCTTATTTAAGAACTCATCAACAGCATTCATGATTAAATTTGCATCAAAATTCACCTCGCCAAAGCTGCAGGTTCCCATGTAGACGGGACTGCTTTCCTGACATGATCTCGTAGCACCATTTGGGATTTCTCCAGTGCGACTGAGTATAGTGTGATGAACACCCCATCAAAAGCAAGGGTCTTGGTATTAGCAGCATCTTTTTGCCAACAACCAGAGAATTCAAACATGGAATTGTAGTGGCCTGAAGGTATTTTTCCAGTCAAAGATATATCTTGGTTGAATTGCTCTGACATCTGGAGAAAATAAAAGAAAAGAAATGAGAAAAAGCATACTCTCGTATATCTCTCACAGGATTCAACTCATGTCACAACAATTTAACTACTAATAGCATTGAACAAACGATGAACCATTACCTGTTGGAAGGAGAGAACATCGGACCTGAACCGTGTGCGCTCTCCTTTATCACATTTTATTGATTCGGGCACCGCGGGTATCGAAATTCCACCAGGTAAAACAATCTCATGGCCTCCATCTTCATCAATCTCGATAAGACATGGATCTTTTGAATTACTCCCTTTGCAGTACTTCAGTCGAAGATCCATTCCAATATCATATCCACATCCAATGGACCTCATGGCAATCTCAGCCGCCTCCGGAGCTGGCATCTTAAGCGCCATTGCTTAACGCATCACTCTTTTTCACCAAAACTGGAACCAAGTTCACACGTGATTCAATTATTCAAACCAAACATAGTATACTCCAAGTAAAGCAAAAGCAACACTGTTTCAATCATTTACATAAATAAAGCTAATCCAAATCATACACATAGCTCAACGTGTAAAAACAGAACAAAAGCCATCATACAAAATTTTCCTTTTAAGCATTTATTACTAAAACAGAACAGATCAGAAGTTCATATATAGCTCAAATATTCAAATTCATATCGAACAAAATCACCTTTCATACTCTTTTCCAGTAACAATCACAAGTAAAACCAAAATACCTCAATTTAAGAAGAAAATTAGCCGATTTTCACAAATTAACAACACCCCAAATCCAAATATAGTTCCGATTGAACAAACATCCCTAAAACACTAGATCCCGAAAATAAAAATAGACCCAAAATAATTTTTCTAAAGAAGGTTAGCTCATATTAGGCCAAAAAAAAAAAGAAGTTCATACATTTTACGCTGCTCAAGAAATAAAGTGGGGAATCTTAGATGGGGTTTTTAGAGCATATTTTGAAGCTCGAAAAAAATCCCAATCCAAGTAAAGCTCACGCAAATTGTAGCCGAAACGCCAACCGTTCGATTTGGAAGTGTTTTGAAACTGCAAGGTTTCCAGGTTGGGAAATTCCAAGAACAAAACTTGAATGGAAAGAAAGATAAAGAAAAAAGTGACTGAGTTGAGAGATGTAAGTAACAATAACAATGAAATAAAAAAAAACAGAGAGAAACCCTAAGAAAAGGGAAGGTTGCTGAGTTGAGACACGGACGAAAGTAGTAAAAATGGGTTTGACAGGAAATAAAGAAAAATTCTTTTGTATTGAAATGAGTTGTGAGTGAGTCAGACTCAAGCCATTTTAACTCCGAGTTGAGTTTTGATTGAGAAACAGCAGGAAAGTCAAAGGTGTTGCTTCCATTGACTGGCCTTGGGTTCCATTAATCATTTCCAGACCTATTAGTTAGCATTACAAACTGCCCCATTAGTCACTAATTTTTACAAGCTATTTGTTTTGGTTATTAAATAATAAAATTTAATTTTATTATAAATTTTTTAAATTATTTTTTATAATTATATATTTAAATAATTAATAACATACTAATAAAAAATTAACTGACCATTTTTCCCATATGAACATACTAATATGATCATTATTTCAAAAAAATAAATTATTATAAACATTATTATTGATTGATTGTCGTTATTTATCACAGTATGATATTAAAACCTTATATTTTGTTCATCTTTCTTCTTATCATTTAATTTTCCACAATATTATTCAAAAACAAGTTTCATACAAAGCTGACTTTAAAATGGTGTGATCTCCCTTTTTTACCACAGTTTAATGAGATTAATTTTGAGATATGTTATTTTTAAAATATAATTTTTATTATTCAAATTTTTTGATAGTTTAATAACTATCATTTATTAATTAATAAGATGATAATTCATGTTATATTTTCATCATATAAAATTTCTCGAATCATATTTATTAAATAAATTTAAAATAAAATGAAGATCAATTCAAGTCCAAAAATATTTTATCTTAACTGTTATATCAAAATATAGTTTATAAAGTTAAATTTTGTTTGGAATGCACTTTTTGATTTTTCAAATGATTTTAATATTAAATTTATCACTTACTCTCTAAATTTATTTTAAAACTTTAAAGTTGAATTCTTTTTTGAACTACCAAAAAGAGGAAGAAGTATGGTTTGAAAAATTCAATTTTTTAATGAAAAAGGAGAACTGAGCATTTTCATGAGGTTTTCCAACAATTGATATCTTTTTCATTAAACATTTTATTAAGGGGAGTTTTACCAAAAATTATATCAAAAAGGGGATATTGTTTAACTATATTTTAATATAACAATTAAAGCAAAATATTTTTGGACTTGAATTGAATTTATTCAAAAGTATTCAAAGTTTTCAAAAATAATTCAAAGTCCATTTAAAAGCTTGGAATTGAGCACAAAACGTTTTTCTGGACAAGTAGTACCGATGTTGTTCTTACAGTATTGATACATAATGAACTAGTACATATTGTTCATATGGTACCGATACCAACGGTAAGGAAAGTATCGATACTCACTAGGTATTACCGATACTACCAGCTTTGCTCAAATTCCAGAATGAAAAAATAGTACCGATACTACTCTGTATAGTAGTTAGATACCATAGGCATATTATCGATACCATCAGGCCCCAACGGTTAGTAACGGCTAGTTGATTTAAATATAAACAAAGTTAGTACCGATACTCCCTTTAGGAGTATCGATATCCCTTGGTCTGGACAATTTTATTTTGCATGAAAATTGATCCCCTAACGGCTCCAAACCACCTCCAACGGTTAGAAACGATCACAACAACATTCCAACACATAAATACAAGTTGAGGACACTTGAAGAAGGGTTAGAACACATATCCAAGCAATCAAACACAAGATAAGAGCTTTTCACTCTTTATTTCAATTCTCTTGTAAATATTTTATTTTTGTGAGCTAAATTTCCCTTTTTTAGAGGTTTTATTTGCTTACATTCTTTTTCTTTGTAAATGATTTTTGGTTCTATCTTAGCCAATTCAAAAGATAGGAAGTTGTAAAGGTTATCTCTTTATCATTGAAAAAAGAAGAACAAATTAGTGAATTTGTTAGAAAATCCTTAGTGAGGAGCTAAGGTAGTAGATGTAGACTTGGTTGATAGGTCGAACTACTTTAAATCCTTATGCCAAATTTTTTTTATCTTTTGCTCTCCTTACTCCCTAATCTAAATTATTACCAGTTAACCCCTTTTCCACTTTTTCGATTATTCACTTGATCCTCTTCAAATCTCAACATGTTGGTTATTTTGATCCTTTAATGTAAAATTTATTTGCCTTTTTTATTAATATGCACGCATTTTGATTTGTTTATGTTGTTGTCGCTTGATATAGAGATAAAAATAATATATTTTACATAATATATTATGTTTGTTTACTATAACAATGTACCTATGCATTATATTTGTTTTTATACCCGCATAAATGCATATGTTATTATTTTATTTGTATTTTTTTTCATTTTATTCTTTCCTCTTATTTAAATAATACACTTTTAAAATCATATATTTGTACATATATTCTATTAAAGATAATTTTATAACAATTGAATATCTATATATTATATTAACATGGTGGTTTATTTAATATTTTAGATATCTATGAAATCTTTGGCTGTTCGATTAACTTATGGGAGACCTCCAAAAAATTGGGATGCCCTTTCGAAGGTTTTGAATAAAATAATTTTAATATTATTACTTGTTTCTTATTTATACTTTGGGATATATTAATATAATTAGATGTATCTTATTCACTTTAAATAAAGGTGCATGTTTAAATAATTTTGTTTTTTACAAGATTATTCTAATAAATAAATATTCATTGTTTGTGTATTTATTTTATTATCCCGTTATTTTAGTCTATTCATTTGTCATATTATGTAAATATTTCATCCATTCTATACATGACATCTGTTACTGTTGCACTCATAAATCATGCATTTATTTTATCGTTTTTCAAATTAATCAAGGGTAACGTTTTTTTTGTATCGTGGATTAACGAAATTACGTCAAACATATCTGGATTTCCATTTACGTTAATTCACGTAGCAAGTGGACATCCTTTTATATAAAAATGAATGAATTAAATTATTTTTATCAAATCAAATATTTTGCAAAGATTCACTCTTTTTTGTCATCAACATAAAATGATCGAAATTTAAATTTTGGATTCAAATAATAAAATTTCACTATTTAGACAACATATAACCGAGGGCAATTATGGGCGCTGTAACACCCCCAACCCATATCCAACCCGGATACGAGTCAGAGATATTAAATTGACTTTTAAAACACAACTCTTAAATAATAGCAAATACTTGAACTTATATTAACAAAATACGATAATATACATATGGTAATATAAGTTTACCAAAATATTCAGAGCATACACAACTTAACTCTTTAGTTACATGCCAACATCCATTTTCATAACAAAATGACCTATGATTAAGTTGCTTCTGATCTGATAGTTGCAGGAGTAATGTTGTCCAGCTGCTTAACCTCAATCATCTACTTTATCGGATCCTACGTGTGAAACACTCACACGCTAAGTCATCGACTTAGTGAGGCAATATAATAATATCAATAAATATAAAGTAATTGCTAAAATGAGATGGGTTGCAATGATAAGATGTATGTAAACAATGCAATAACCAGAACCATGTTTCTTACACATATACTTATCAAATTCACATTCATAAGTTCACCTTATTAAGTTTATTAGCCCATGGTACCATACAGAGAACCTAAGGTATGTGAGTATTGTGAGGTTGTGCACTATGCTGTCACCACAGCTCGTATAATTGCACCGAAGTGCCACGTAGAATTGCACCAGAGTGCCGCATAGAATTTCACCAGAGTGCCATATAATAATGTCCATAAGGACCACATATCATTCATTAAGAATCATATACATATACTAGGGATCAAACATGTGTCTCACAAGACTTCACACATGTTCCAAAGAATATATATATATCTCGAAGGACAGCATAGACCCTCTACCCTTGGCATGCCAACTATACCTATAGTTCTCATCTACATAACATGGGCTTTCACAATTCACCTAATTTGTATCACGTATACATATTATTTTCATACCTTTATCACATAATATAACTTTTTCTTGCATATTCATGTCACATAATGCATATGGTATGAATTCATGTCATGTATCATAATATGAAATACGATCATGTATCAAAATATTGAATCTAGACTTATCACAAGTCTAGAACTGAATAGAATACATATTCATGCTATGCATATGCACTCACTATATTTCTTTGTCTTTCCCTCGATTGATCCTACTTGTCGATGGTTCCGGAACTCGTTTAGGCTCGATATCTACATAGTAATTCGTTGATACTTATCAGTATACTAATTAGTATATTCTAAGCTATCATTCTTAGGCTAAAAGAAAAGCCATTTTCATCTTTTAATGGAGGTATGCATCGATGCACTACACCATGCATCGATGCATAAATCCTATTCGATGTTTGTATTTAATGGGGATGCATCGATGCACTCCTTATGCATCGATGCATTAATTGCATTCGATGTTTGTATTTTAAAAGAGTGCATCGATGCACTTCATGTGCATCGGTACACCTTGAAAATTTCTGGGATTTATCATCGATGCATCGGTGCACAATGAATGTGCATCGATGCACATTGCCCAGAATTGTCATTTTAGCACGAAAATCTCTTCTTAGTCTACTTAACACTTTATATTTCCCCTCTTTATATATCCTTAACTTGCATACTCTTACTTAAACTAATTATTATCCATTCCATACTTTTAAAACTTAGAGATCCAATTCTCCATGTAGAGTTTAAGAATCTAACCCAAATTCCAACATGTTCTAATTTGAATTCTAACACCTCATACTTCTTATTTAGCTTTATGACAAGTCAAAACTCACTTCTAATTCTTATTAGAAACTCTAATCCAAGATTTCACTTTTCTACTTCCTTTCTTTAATCCTTCATAACTCACCAATCTTTGAGTTTCTATAATATTTTCCATCTCCATAATCTTTCCTAAAGCTTCATAAATCAAACCCATACTTTAATTTGAAGGATTAACCAAAAGAAATCAAACTTACCTTAAGTTTGGGCGCTTCACGTTGAAGAAGAAAATGAAGAAGAAAGAAGAATCAATAGTTGTC